TGTACAAATGTGCTTTACACAATTGATGTATGTATGGATTGTGATAAGAGTTGTATGAGCCCATAATAAAACGATTAAAAAAAACTCCATTTCTTTTTTATATTAAGAAACAGAAACTACATGATACTAGGCATTGGAGATCTACATGAATCAAGTTCCCAAGTTTTGAGGGTACCACTTGGCCTCCCCAGACCTACTAGTACATTGTTTCCCAAACAGGGGGCACTCGAGTGGGGGTGGGGGTGTAGAGCAGTGGAGGTTGCAAAGGTAGTTACCTACACTTTATCCTGGATTATGGGCAAAGGTTTTAGGGGTTTTTTTTGTTGGGGGAGGGGTGGAAAAGACATATGGAGTAATTTTTTTTTGGTCTGAAAAGGGGGTGGTAGGCCACCTAAGTTTGGAAACTTAGAATCTGTACTAAAGTTCAATTTCTTGGCCATAGTAGCTTAATCCAATGAGTAGCTTGGTTTGGGGATTGGCTGGGAATACACAGATACATATAAAGCCAAAATACTCGGCAGTAATCGAGGTTGTATTTTCCCTTCAAGTTCCTTTCATGGGAAGATAGCTCCACTACCTTTGGTTCTTTATAATGTTTGGGTCTAGTCCTCTAACTCCTACATAGAACTTAGAATTCTTGTTATCCTACAGCACAGAAGTTCTGGCCCTTCACATAGGCTTCTATACCTGAACTCAGAAGAAGTCAGGTATTTATAAATTATCAAGAGTTGATGAGGGAGGGGGGAGCAAGGAGGGAGGGGAAAAATGAGGAGCTGATGCCAGGGGCTTAGGTGGAGAGCAAATGTTTTGAGGATGAGGGCAATGAATGTACAAGTGTGCTTTACACAGCTGATGTATGTATAGATTGTGATAAGAGTTGTATGAAACCTTAATAAAACGATTAAAGAAGAAGAAGTCAGGCTCTGGCCAGGAATACCTAGTTGGTGTTTCTATGTCACTTCAGCCCACAGAGATATTTGTCTTGTTGTAGAATTATGCCTTCACTTTTTCTTTAAAATTTTAATGGCTCCCCTACATAATTGAAATGAAGACACTTAAAGGCTCAATATCTACCTAAATTAAAAGTTCAACATGTCTTTCTGGAATTCATTAGATGGTTAAGTAATACTATACTCTATCAACATAGGAGGACATGGGGATTACAGTCACGATTCAAATCCATCTTCTTTTTCCCTAAAACTGCATGGTTCTATATAATCCCATGGAACCATGTCAATATATTCTTGTTACTCTAATATACATTCGAAAGCTCTGCCCATATTCCAAAACAAAAATACTTAGAGGAACAATATTTAAATCTAAAAGTGAAAACTTTTAATATATTGAAACCATATAAAAAGTCATTATAAAAATGTTTTATTTAACATAAAACGTAAAATAGTGTGTATCTCATCAGACCAAATCACACTTAGAGATTAGATATGCTCTTTCTATGTAAAATATGATTACATAATCAAAGCATACTACATTAAACATGAGCACAAGATATATTCAGGCATCTTCTTTCTAATAACCAAAAATAAAAATCAATCTATCACGAGACCCCAAAGGCAACATTCTGAACAGAGTCCGACAGTAGGAGGACACAGGAACAGCCTGTACACCGAGGGCAGGGTAACAAAAGTCACAAAACAAAATCTGTACACATTGTTGAATGGCAAACTAAACTACAATAGAAAATAAAATGTTAAAATTCATAAAGCTCAGAGACTATATGAAGTTACCAGAACAAAGGAAATCTGTTAATAATAAAAAAAATCCTACCTGTGGGGGTTCACTGGGAGAGCCCAGGGAGGAGCAGTTTTCATTTTCATCCACCTTTATCTGTTCATAAGTTCGCTTCCTGGGTTTCTTATCACCATCTAAAATACAACCACATGGAAGTTTTAAATAAAGAATACATTTTATTGATGAGATCATGATAAAAATTTTACATACTTACACAAAGCTTGCTTAAGTTGATCCAACACATCATTTTCATAAACACATCTTTCTTCCCAAATAGATAAAACTCTTCCGAGGTGTTTCTTACAACTTTCATCAGTTTCACTAAAAATAAACAAAAATGATACATATCTATTTGTATAGTAACAGGAAAAAAAATACTCCATGCTACTGAAAATGTGATGGTCACTTTCAAATATCAGGGGACTTCAAAGAGTTCATGGAAAATGGTATTTAAAGACAATAAAACTTTCCCAGAAACTTTCTGAAGCACCCATGTATAATCAATCAGACATTTATTCTCTTAAAAGAAACTGTCCGTATTTACTAAGCACCACTAATTGGTCAGCAGTACAGGTATGTGATGATCAAGAAGGACTTACTCCTGGCTTTCCTCAAAGAACCTATAATACAGAGAAAACTACAATAGCCACAAAAGTGTTAGTATAATCTCCTTGGCATTTACAAAGAGGCGTCTAACTTAATTGGGGCTGAACATGAGACTAAGGGAGGTTTTCTCATAGGTGACTTCTTAAATTATTCAACAAATATTTATGAATCAAAGCACTACCATAGACACTGAAGGTACTAATGGAGCTTTATTTCAGCTATTATTTATAAATGCTACAAAACATGGCAGGTGTTAAGAGGGTGGTCATAAGAGAGAGATCTGACTGCGTAAAAGAGATCATTAAGTTTATCTGAGGAAGTAATACTTAATCTGGGTACTGACAATTGGATATATGGGAAAATGAGAAACAAGAGCTATTCTCAATCACTTCCTATGCCCCCTTTCCACACCATATTACACTAAGCTGCTACTATATCCTGCCTGGATTATTGCAATAGTCTGCTCATCGGTCTCCCAGTCTCTACTCATTCATCCTGATTCTTTACAAAGCCTCTTAGTAATGTTCAATAGATCTTGCTCAAGACCTATCTTAGCAAGGATAAACTCAAATCCATGCTCTAAGGCAGAAGACTGACATAAGTTGACCTCTTGGTACTTTTCAGTCCATGCACCCTAACATCTTCTCCAAAAGAAATTGCCCAGCTGACTGTACCCCTGCCTCAGTCAGTGCACAGCAGATTCTAATTGTGATCTCCTTTCTTTAATCTGTTCAAATGGCCCTTAACCAAAGTATTCATTCTTTACTGCTCTATATAGCTGAGCATCTCGTATTCTCTAGTTATTTCCCTGCATTACATATCATCGTAACACTTGCTATCTGACATTATAAGTGTACTTGTCTAACTAGTTGAGGAGTCTGGTGGTGTAGTGGTTACGAGCTAGCCATCTCCAAGGTTAGTGGTTCAAAACCACCAGCCACTCTTGCAGGTAAAAGGTTAAGGCCTTTTACACTTGTAAAAAGTTAGTCTCAGAAACACACAAGGGGCAATTCTGCTCTGTCCTATAGAGTGACTATGAGTGGGCACTGACTGGATCAATGGCAGTGAGTTTGGTTGTTTTTCTTTGACCTTTGCCTTCACTGAAATGTCAGCCCCTTAAGAACAGACCTTTGCTTGCTCAGTACTGAATCCTTAGGGCCAAGAAAATGAGAAGGTACTCAGTAATTTTTTTTCTTTAAAGTTTATTTAGAATATACAGAGCAAGATATAAACTATTTCAGCAGCATCTGCATGTACTATTTAATAACAGTGGGTATGTTCTTTGAGTTGTGAAACATTAATAGTTTATGGACTTGGAGTGAGAGGTAATACATATAAAAGCCTAAAGGCAGGAAGAGCTAATAGATGCTCAGGGAGTCTGGAAAGGCAAACAGGGTCATGAAAGAACACTTGCTTTCTAGAGCGAAAAAGAGCCATTCAAAGGTATTTGATCAGCTCTTAAACTGACTAGTTTTGGATTAAATGGTGCATGCAGAAAGACCAGAAAAGATGCTACAGTAATTGGACTAAAAAGAGATTCAAGGAACCAAGGTAGCATGTACTACATGAGTTAAGGAGTAAAAGAGATAGCAGAGTTAAATAACATCTCATTTCTTACTTGGGCATCAGGATATACGGTGTTGCCATTTACAGAACAAAACCTAGAAGAGTAAGCCTAACAGGAGAAAAGGACATAATGTGTTCAGCATTAGACAGATTGAGTTTGAGCTGTTTGAGAAACAATCCATTAGAAATGGCAATAAGCAAATAATCACACATAAAAAAGGGCACTGGAGTGTACTGGAGTATATGAGTGAGTTGTTATGGTGTGGATAATATCAAAATACATGCAGTATCCAAAATCATCCAGGGGGCAAGTGAAGAGTAAGATCAAAATAAGGTCTAGGACAAAACTCTTAAGAAACAACAAATTATGAAAAGGTGGTCAAAGACAGTATTTTAAGTTGAAGGATGAGAACACATATTACCAATATTTCATAATCTATAATTTTTCTTTAAAAGTATCTACCATAACTAAAACTCAAGACATTCAACAACATTATCATCATCACTTACCATTGAATTCTATAATTTAGAATTACTGAGTAATTTAGCCCACTTTAATCTGTTTACTCTCAGTCACCTACCAATTATTTGCATATAACTTTTGGAAATATGCACTTACAAAGGTCATTAGCCAACAAATAGAGGTTTCTAATCCTCAGAATTTTCTGTGGCCAAGAATGTTAACAGCTTCATGCTCATTTTAAATAAAAATATTTATAAACTACCTATATATTAGAAAAACTTAATCAGTAAAAGCAATGTGGGGGAGGGGTACTGTTTATCCAGGCATAGTGGCTGGAAGACAGATAATTTTTAAACACACAAATTTTCAATGCAATGCCTTTATTCCTTTGTAATGAAGTTCATTCCAAAAAGGCAACTAATTTTTGCTTCTTAAAGGAAAGTAATAATTCAGTAATTCAAGTACTCTAAAGGCCCAAATTATCAACATTTTAAAAAAATGTATTTTAATTTCCTTCATTTAGCATATCTACAAATGTGGTTAATTTCAAACATGTCTTTTCAAACAAAAACTTCAAAGAAATATATTATCTATTTTTTAATGGCATAAAGTAAATTTTATCAAAAGGGCCTATGATGCACTTAAAACAGACTAGCTAGTAGTCAAACAATTATCATACCTTGAAACATGCTTAAAAGCTTCCACTATAACTGGTGCAAAATCCTTTGTAAATTCCGGTCCCTTCCTTTTGCTGTTCTGAATGACATCATTGGCTAGGTATAGAAAAGTAAGCTTCCTGTTTGGTTTGGCTGGGGGGAAAAAACAAAGAAATATTTAATCTACTAAAAAATATTCTTAGACAAACTTTGAAGTAAACAGGATGAGTAGCATCATATATCATATTCAATACAGCTTCCCACGTTACTGCCCACTTTCTTAAGCTGCCACAGTAACACTCTCCAGGATCACTACTCTGCGTAGCCCAACCGCGTGGGAAAGAACACACGCCAAAGAGGCAAGAGTAGGTCAGTCGGTGACAGATCATTCAGTCCCCTTGGTCATTTTACCAAATCACCCATAGTACACAACGTCTTTGATTCCTTACCTATCACCATTCCCAAATATAAACTTAAACCACTTGTGCTTGTAAACATACATTTCTATCATGCTACAGCACAGGTTCCCAAACTGATATGGGCTGCTCACCCCCTTTCAGTAAAAAAACACCAAAAAACTACTCGGTACCCTGCTGGCAACTGAAAATGCTTGCATAGAGTACATCATTCAGGATAAAGTATAGGTATCTGCTTTTGCAGCCCCCCCTTGTTCATCTCAGCATCCTCCAGGGAACAATATAGCCCACGTTGGACAACACTGCTCTAAATGGACTAAATTTATTTAAATCGTTATAAACTATACGAAATATAGTCACTTAAAATTAAATGGTGATTGTCCACGCTATTCAGATGGTGCCCTAAATTCCAAACTGATTTTAGGATTTACTTTGATATCATGAAGATTCAAAATTTATTAAGTTACTTTGAAGGAGGCCAAAAGATACCTTTTTTATAAGAGGGAAAAACATCTAAATGTTTCCCATTGGTGTCCATAAGTAACATTCATTGCACAATAAAGGATTTATTGCATAAGCATTAAATCAAGGGGGGGCTGCAAGCAAACAAGGGGGGGCTGCAAAAGCAGATACCTATACTTTATCCTGAATGATGTACTCTATACAAGCATTTTCAGTTGCCAGCAGGGTACCGAGTAGTTTTTTGGTGTTTTTTTACTGAAAGGGGGTGAGCAGCCCATATCAGTTTGGGAACCTGTGCTGTAGCATGATAGAAATGTATGTTTACAAGCACAAGTGGTTTAAGTTTATATTTGGGAATGGTGATAGGTAAGGAATCAAAGACGTTGTGTACTATGGGTGATTTGATAAAATGACCAATATAAAAACATTTTTAAAGTGGTACTTTAATTCATGCATTACTATTAATCTTTTAAAAATAATTCAAAATAGCTGTTGAATGAAGAGTTGGTATTCAGAAATTTAAATATAAATTCTATTTATATGATATAAGGGGACCTAATGGCAAAGTGGTTCCTCATTGAGCTACTAACCCCAAGGTTAGCTGTTCAAAGGTACCAGCTGCTCTGGGGGAGAAAGGTGAGGCTTTCTCTGCACAGGGGCAGTTCTCCCGTGTCCTATGGGATCGCTATAAATGGGAATTGACTGGATGGCAATGGGTTTGAGTTTTATATAATACAAACTACATGTATATACATATAATTCAAAATAGCTTCTAAAACAGCACAGTAAAAAATTTTAAGATTTCAAATACATGTCAAAGGATAAACCCTGTAGCAGAAACGGGTCTAAATATCAAGCTCCTCTAGGTTAGCTAGGAGTCCTAGTGGCATAGTGAGTTATGTGTTGGGCAGCTCACTACAAGGTCAGTGGGTCAAACATACCAAGTGCCACTCTGTAGGAGAAAAATGTGGCTGTCTGTGCCAGTAAAAACTTACAGCCTGAGAAACTCGGTGGAGCAGTTCTATTCTCTGACAGAGTAGTTATGAGTTGGAACTGACATGATGGAGTGGGCTGGAACTCTTAGCACCTTATCATAGGACCTTGAACAGAAGCAGGTTTACACTCACACACACAATCTGGCTGGTTAATATGTGAGAATAGAGCATTACTGAAAAAAGCAGAGTAAGGAAACAGAATGTGTCACACAAGGAACAATTACACAATCTCACAAACATCCCAATTACCAGGCTTCAAAAAGAAATCAGGAGTCTGAGTTATTGGACAAACAAATGAAACAACAGCCATCTAGCTTCACAATTCACAGTCTAATTGTACTGGTTCACAATCAGAAGTGGGAGGAGCATTACTTTCAATTGAGTGAGATATAACGTAATCAAAATCTTAATTAACTGCTCATGTTTTTATTAAGATTGGTATTTAAAATTACCATGAACAATTGTGATAAATGCAGTAAAACTAAAATATCATGCCATTTACAAACATAAAAGCCATTCCCCTCGCCCCACAGAGATCTGCATGGGAAGCAGCAGCAAGAAGTTGAACATACAAGTATGTCTACACCTAATACACACATGTACATAGCCATCAATGCCAGGAATAACCACGACTGCAGCTCTTACAACACGACATGAGAAAAGCCACACCACCTTGAGATGAAAATCTACTAACGGTTTATTACCCTTGCCGGCCAATTTCATTTATTTTTTTCTAGTACATTCAATCACTGAAGACTAGAATGAGGGAGGGTGGGGACAAAACAGGAGCTTATACCAAGGGCTTAAGAAGAAAATGTTTTGAAATGATGATGGCAACATATGTACAAATATGCTTGATACAATCGATGTATGTAATGTTATGAGTTCTAAGAGCCCCCAATAAAAAAAAATTTTTAAGCATGACTAAAATGAGATAGTTTTTGCAGTAGATACATTTAAGTCCTAAGCTTGTAAGTATAATTTAATTGGATGGAAATATAAATGCATTTAACCAAAGGGTAATTATAAATGACTGTTAGGATTTCATGCCATCTAATCATTCAACAGATAGTTTCAAGGATACTTCAAAAAATACATGGGAAATTCTATTATCTTTTTTTTAAAATCATTTTATTGGGGGCTTGTACAACTCTTATCACAATCCACACATCCATCCATTGTGTCAAGCACATTTGTACATTTGTTGCCATCATTCTCAAAACATCTGCTTTCTACTTGAGCCCTTGGTATCAGAGCTCATTTTTCCCCCTCTCCCTGCTCCTCCCTACCTCATGACCCCTTGATAATTTATAAATTATTATTATTTTGTCATATCTTACACTGTCCGACGTCTTCCTTCACCCACTTTTCTGTTGGCCACCCCCCAGGGAGGAGGGTATACGTAGATCCTTGTAATAGGTTCCCCCTTTCTACCCTACCCTCCTCCCTTTACCCTCCCAGGTATCGCCACTCTCAGCACTGGTCCTGAAGGGATCATCTGTCCTGGATTCCCTGTGTTTCCTGTTCCTATCTGTACCAGTGTACATCCTCTGGTCTAGCCAGATTTTTAAGGTAGAATTGGGATCATGGGGGGGAGGAAGCATTTAGGAACTAGAGGAAAGTTATATGTTTCATCATTGCTACACTGTACCCTGACTGGCCCGTGACCCTTCTGTAAGGGGATGTCCAGGCCTACAGATGGGTCTTGGGTCCCCAATCTGCACTCCCCCTCATTCACAATTTGATTTTTTTGTTCTTTGATTCCTGATACCTCATCCCTTAAATTCCATTATCCATTCGCTCATTTTTCCACAAATTATCTGAAGCCCCCTACAGACACTGCATTAGGAAAAAAACACAACTCACAGTCAAGCTGATAAAAGCCCTTTTAAACCATAAGTGTAAATAGCCAATGAACTATCCATGTGAAGACCATTCTAGGCAGAAGCTCCAGTGCATAAAGTGCACTGCTGATTATGTGTCAGCAAGTAATGGAGTATGAAACTAGAAAGAGGGAGGTCCTTAAATACCAAGTAACATTTTGAAGTTTCATTTTAAAAATAAAAAGTACTGAGATTTTCAGAGGCAAAGGAAGGACACCTTCAGGTGAATAAGGAATAAAAGTTTGAAATATTTAATAGTAAGAATATTTCAATGAGAATGAAATAGGAAAAATGGTGTCTTCCTTGCCCACACCCCTTGGGAGAAAGATGAGGCTTTATACTCCAGTAAAGAGTGACAGTCTCAGAAACCTGCAAGGGTAGGCTACCCTGTCCTAGAGGGTCACTATGAGTTGGCATCGACTCAATGGCAGTGAGTTTTGAAGTTTTGGAGTCACTCCTAACATCATGATAAAGGGAGAAAAGATTGAAGATGTCAAGGATTTCATTTTACTTAGACCTACAACTTCATGGAGGCAGCAGTCAAGAAATCAAACAATTAAGAAAAGAAAATTCAAACAAAACTGCACTGGGCAGATCTGCTGCAAAAGACCTCTTTGAAGTTCACTGAGCAAAGACTGAGGTGCCTCTGACCTGTCACCTTACTTCCAATGGCCTAGTTTGCATGTGAAAGCTGGGCAATAAATAAGGCAGATTTAAGAAGAAATAGTGAATTTCAATTAAGATGCTGGCAAAGAATACTGAGGGTACCACGGACTGTTAAAAGGACAAACAAATCTGTCTTACAGCTAGAAGGCGCCTTAGAAATCAAGTGTGGCATGAGGACCTAATGCTGGGGGTTTAAGTGGAGAGAAAATGTTTTGAGAATGATGAGGGCAATGAATGTACAAATGCGCTTTACACAATTGATGTGTGTATGGATTGTGATAAGAGTTGTATGAGCCCCAAATAAAATGATTTTTTAAAAAAAGAAATCAAGTGTGGCAAGAACGGTCTGGTGTACTTTGGACATGTTATCAGGAGATACTCAAACTCACTGCCACTAATTGCCCCTGTGAGTTTCTGAGACTGGAACTTTTTACAGGAGTAGAAAGTCTGTCTTTCTCCTAAGAAGCAGACGGTGGTTTCAAACTACTAATCTTTTGTGTCCCAGCCCAACGTGCTACCACTATGCCACCAGGGATCGTTGCGCTCTAATAGGAAGCAATATAATAATAATTTTAAAAAATAATAATAATGAAGCCTCTACAGTTACATATATACAGTATATCACTTACATACTATATAGTTATCTAGTCCTGGAAAGTATCTGTCATTGAGAATGAATCTGAGTCCATGCTTGATGTCAGGAGAAAAACAAACAAAAAAATTTCACGTAT